ACAACATGTATGGTTAAGCATGCAGAATCCACACAAAGAAGAAGCCAGGATCTTCTTTCACCAGGGGAGCAGTGCCATGAACTGCACCACCACAAAGTTCCCAAACTAAAAAGATTTATGAGAAACAGCATCATACATGCAGTCAAACATGGTGGCAGAACCTGGAATACCTGCAGCAAATCCTAAAACAGAATGTCCGACCCTCAGTTTACGACTATGAAAGGCACTTTGGTTAACTGACTCAGGCTATGTACATATGTACATTACATGACACTTTTTACCAGTAGACCACTTTCTACTAGTGTAGTTCAGGTTGTATGATCCATTTGTTTCAGAAAGTATTACACTTTTTAAACCACACAGCTTTACCGTGTGGAGCAGCTTTTACCATCTTTAGTTTGAGAGTTAAAACTTAAAAAAAGCTACGAAACGTTGCACTAAGTTTCTCTCGAGTGGAAGATCTGTGCCTTTCGTGTTCCAGGTAGTGTTACACATGCATGACTCAGTCTGTCTGTGATGTTGAACCCAGAGGTGTGTGTCATTCCACCAAATCTAGGAAGCTGACAACTTCCAAGGAGAGGTGAGAGGGCATTCTGTGGAGGCAAAGCAACAACTACAGCTTACACTGGGGGATGAATCATCAGCTGTGACAAAAAGCCCATAAACTCTGTGCTGGTTGAGTCTCAGGATGAGTCAGTGAGTTTCATTATGAGGAATTCTATGATGGCAGAGGCTTCAGGATATAACTATAACTTAACACCCTTCAGTTTTTACCTTGTGTAGCCACTTTAAGACAAATCAGGACGAAAGAGTGACGTTAGTAACTTTGACACTAATGTCTTCAACTACCATCCGAACAGAGAAAGCAGATGTCAGATTATCCTACCAAAGCAAGATGAAAATAATTTATATTCTAAACCAACTGATCTGATGTTTCTTGTTCTCCTCTCAGCTCCTGTGCACGGTGGTGGCTGACATCTCAGCCCGAGCTTTGACCACATCCACCGCAGACGACCAGCCCCTCCTCTCTCCACGCCACTATCAGCACACAGACCGGGACTCTGGCACCCAGCTGGTCTGTGACAAGTGCCCAGCAGGCACCTACGTCTCCGTCCACTGCTCTCCGACAACAGTGAGGGAGTGCAGCCCCTGCCCCAGTGGCACCTTCACACGGGGCGAGAACGGCGTCCAGCAATGCCACCGCTGTCGGGCTCCGTGTCCCGCAGGCTTCATCGAGAAGGCGCCGTGCATGGCCACCCAGGACCGAGTCTGCACCTGTCCGCCCAACACATTCCTGTTGAAGAGCGGTGGTCTGGAGTGCAAGCCCCACTCCCTGTGCCCACCCGGGACCCGGGTGAAAAGGCGCGGCAACGAAAAGGAAGACGTTCTCTGCAAGCCGTGCACGAAGGGCACGTTTTCTCAGGTGGAATCCAGCGCCATGAGTTGCAGAAATCACACAGACTGCAAAGCTCTGGCAAGGCTGCTGTTGACACCAGGGACAAGACAAACGGATAACGTGTGTGGACCCCCTTCTGCCACTTTGTCATCTGTCCCCCCGACCACTCCACTGGGGCCTGCACAGGCTGTGTTTGTTCAGGAGACGATGATGTCATCGGTCTCCCCATCATTGAATGGGCATGAACGTAAAGGTGAGGCGGCCATCATGCACTTCTCTTTTGTTGAGAAGAATTCCTATTCAGATTAACTTCCTGTTTTTTTTTGTTGTTGTTTTTTTGTTTTTTTTGTCTCAGTAAAATCAAATCCCTAGAGGAGAAATGACATGAAACATAAGTGACTGCATTTGCTAAGAAAACTTGTTTGAAGAATTAAAAGTGTGGAAGTTTTAAGGTTCACTTACCACTAAGAAAATGACCACAAACAGTGGAGTGTTTTAGTTCAAAGCCTATTTATGTTAAAATGGCCCAGTCAAAGTCTAAACCTGAAAATGAAAAACTGCAACGAGACTTGGAAATAGACTCTTGCGTATTCTCTACATAATCGTTGGCTGACATGAAGCTATTTTGAAAAGAAAAACCTTCCGTGTCCAAATGTGAACCAGTAGCGACATTCCAGCAAGTGCCGACAGCTGTTGCTGGAGTTAAAGCTGACTTTACAAAGTCTTGACTTAGGAAGGGCTTCATAAAAATGTATGTCACATTTTTGTTAGTAAAAAAAAGCTTAATACTATAATACTATGTGTGAGCTAATTTGCTATTACATAAAATCCCAGCAAAGCACATTGAGGCCTGTTGTTGCACATGAAGAAATGTGGAAACATTTTGAAAACTGTTACATGGCTGCAGGTTATGTATTTTTTTGAAGTGCTGCATCCTCATTGCACAAATGCCCCCCCCCACCCCTCCACTGTCTCATCCAGGCTAGAATTCTCATAGGTGGGATATCTGTTGGCACGGAAACAGCAGGCTGCCCCTGTATGCCAGGAATGATTGCATTTTCAAGGGGACTCAAGGTTGTTTCTGTCCTCTTGTTTCATCTTTCTTCTTTTCTTTTTCTCCTGTTGGTAGAGAAAAAACCCTCGGTAGTTCCCCTACATTTTCCCGTTGGTTTGCCGGACTCGTCATGTCCTTACCCGTTCTTACGTCATGCTCGTCTGAGCCAGCCAAGCAGTCATTTCTCAGAATCAACCATCCATAACTAGCATACCTCTCCTCCACTAAACCCCCCACAGCCATAATACTGTCACTGCTGTTTGTGTTGGCAGGGGATCGATGGCCTTTGAGCCAGTTAATTTGACACCGTCTGAGCTGTTAGAACCATGGGGGGGGATTGGTGGGGGCTGTTAGCTTACACCTGCTATTTACCGATGGTAGAGGAGGGGGTGGGTGGTCACCCTCATTCAGAAAGGAGAGGAAGATTAGATTGAGTTGTAAAGTTTCTGTAGAGGAAGTCAGTTTGTTCCTTTTTTTTTCTATAACTCAGATAATTGGAGGTTACATCACACATCTCCTAGCAACCAGAAATGTTCAGCAGAGATGTTACATTGATTGTTATATCCACCTTACACAGTGTGGGCTGCAGGCTTTTCCAGGCCCTTTAAGCCAGAGCCGAGACTTTAACTTGGTGATTTCAATTCATTAAATACATGGAATTTAACACGGAAAATTTTTTAAATGCAATTTGGTCGTTTACGTACAAAAGCCCAGAGGAGGAACCTTTGTATTGTGTTTCTGGTACGCCTGTAAATCTAACGCACAAGCAACATTTGCAAACAACACTGACGGACGACAAAGCTGCTTCTCTTGGCCTTCTGGAGGTTAACAATATTTTCAAAAAACAATCTGATTGGACTCTGGAAATGTTGTGCTAAAAACAATTAGCTTATCAGTGAATCTTTTGTAGCTTAAAATAGTGTTAGAACAAGTAAAAGTCGAAACATGATTGGTGCCTCCAACGTCCTGTCTGTCTAAATAATCAGCTCCAGTAACATTAAAAAAACCAAAGTATGCAGTTGATTTTTCAGTATTAAAGTTTAATACTGAAAAATCAACTGTAATTTTCATAGTGGCAGATTAAAGAAAAGTAAGAAAGAAAAAGATATGCGCTTTGGCCGCTCCAAATTAAATTGTTGATGAGATTTGTTTGTTCAACCCATCATAGATGAATTTATTAGATTGATTTACTGCTTAAATATATATCCAAGCTGATCTTTTTACACTATAGAATGATTATGCAACTAACTTCCATAACTTTTAAAAACTTGCATTAGATGCATTTTAAATGAATTTTCTCTAGTCCACTTGGAGTCAAACTGTTATATACATGACACTTTCAGTCACATTTAGACATATGTACATGCTCAGCATGTACGCTTCTGCCTGTCAACTATAAATGCCCGCAGCATAACAAATAACTCATGATAATAATAATAGCAATACATCAATACCAAGCCAAAGGTATTTTTTATTGACATATTTATGTGGTTAGCCCTGAAAACTAATTGGATTACTGTCAGTAGACTCAATTTGGACTAAAAGCTCTTAGCTTTGTCCTTTGAGACTCATAAATCTGGAGCCAAGCAGTTGTCCAATAAATAGAAATTACTTAGTTTTACACTGCTGGCACAATTAATGCAAAGTTCTCCATTATGGGACATCTGCCACACTGGTTTTCACTTCAACTTCTTTTGATTGAGTTGATACTTTTTTTCTTACAGTTTTTGGTTAGGAAGATAATCAAGCCACATAACCTGTCATACATTTGACAGCTACATATTCAGAAGCGTGTATGTATAAAGCCAAAGACTCTGAAATGCCCCAACACCTTCTGTTTCCCTGTGTTTGTCACTGAGCGCTTTCTCTCCCTGCTTTAGAGTTCTGGTCAAAATGTCACTTTTAATTTATGGATTAGAGTCACACCTGGGCAATGTTCTGCTGATGAGAGGATAAATAGGATTATTACACATCTGAATGACAATTTAGAGATTATGCAACTCAGCTCCCATCATCATTAGGGGTGCTGAAGCACAGAAAGCAGCAGGGAGGTGCTGGAGATTGCATCGATAATCAATGGCAGGAAGTGACGCACTGACATTGACAAACCACTTTTTCTTTTCCATGCCTGGAGAACACTAACTCTGCAGCTGTTGTTAGTGTTGGGTGCAACACACCACCCTAACTGCCCCTCACCTAACTGATGAGTCCAGCACTGACTGTGAAGTGTCGGTCAGGACGACTTTTCAAACTGTTCCTTCGGCTGAGTCGAATCCTGATTAGGTGTCCCCTGGCTTCAATTTAATCAACAAGCAGACTGTGGTGTGAGCAATTTTGGACTTCATCTGCTGTGTGATTACCAGCCGGGGCACATTGGGGCTGGAGCAAAGCAGTGGGAGCAGACAGAGATTAAGGGTCCTTGCAGTCCAGGGAACCCAGCTGCAGCTTGATGGTTCATATTTTGTGTGACGCGTGTGTTTTGTTGTCTCCAAATTTAACTTCTGGGGACAAGCTAATTGGCATTACAGTTATCTTTTTCTTTTTTTTAGTTTTTTACTCTGCAGTGATGGTACAAATTTGAAATCATTCTCTTGCAAAGCCTGAAATGTACACTCAGTAGCCACAGGGTATCATCCTGCCGCACTAAAGGAACTCAATGCATTGATGCACCTCAATTCGAACATCAGAACGAAAAAAAAAGAGGTTTCAATTGACTCAATGTGGCATAGTTTCCTGCTTTGAGGAGACGATGAGCAAAATTTGTTTAAATAGCAGAAAGACAGCAGTAGTTTAAATGACCACTATTGAAACCAAGCTATGTGGAACCATCTCTGAACATACAATATGTAGACCTTTTGAAGCAAGTTGCAACTTGCACCGGTTAATTTTAGGAGCTTGGGGCAAAAAAATAATAATCAGGCTTCCCAAAACTGGACAACAGGAGATTGGAAAAAGTTCTTCTTTCTCAATTGTTGCTAAGGGTTGCTTTATACCAATCAAACGTCACTTAAGCACAACACCCTACCTGAGTATTTTTATTAACCTGTAGAGTGACACCTTTTCCTGATTAAGTATCAGATATTTCTCCATAGCAGTGGTCTCAAACTCCAGTCCTCAAAGGCTGGTGTCCTGCAACCTCTAGATGTCTCTCTTCTTTTAAGTTTTATTTGTGGTTGACAAAGTTACTTAAGTGCATATACTGCCACTTACTGGACTGGAGTGAAGATGTTCTACACACTGGAATTAAATGGCTGAACTGTGTCACTAGCATGAAGCCAAGCTCTACAGAGCTCTGCTAATGAGCTAATATTGATACCAGCTGGGCTGAAAAGTTGAAAGACACAACTTTTGGAGTTTGAGACCACTGCTCTACAGTCATGTCAGCTAATTGATATCCTCAAAAAATCTAATTAAATTCACTCAATTGGACATATGCTTAACCTAGTCTATTAAAACATAAGATATCGCTATGGAACCCTGATCCATGCGAGCAATCGATGATAACCAAGAGTAAGTTCTATCCAGCACCAGCAGTCTTCCCCTATTGATTGTTTCATTTTTTTTGGGTTACTTTTTTATAAAATATGGCGCTAACCATCTCAACACCTCAGAAGTAGTAGGCTCTTCCTAAGTAAATGCTGCACACAGATAAAGGAGAAAAGAAGCTACCACTGGTTACCATGCTAGTATCCCAGATTGTTTGCTTGGATGAGGATTTCCTCCTGTAATACCTTCTGTTTTCATGATCAGGGCGAGCATATTTCAAATTGAGTGAATTTAATTCCCTATTTCTGTGTCTCTGTTGCTTCTTATCTCTTGTGTACCAGCTCTGTGTTCCTTTTCCTCATCTTATTACTATATCTTTGTCTCCATCAAATCCATTGTCAAACATCACAGATCCCTTGAGCCAGTCAGCAGCCATTCAACTGAGGAAAACTGTAGGCGGGGAAGACGGAGGAGTGGAGTTAATGCTTACCCATTCTGGCGTCCCCACCCCACCAAATCAGGAAGCGTCATGGACTCCCTTGTCAGTGGCTCGAAAGCAAGCCATGGATCTCAAGCAAGAATTGGGCAAGTCTGATGCTGATCCTGAGCCTGGGGCAAATAAACCAAGAATGGAGGGTCCAGTAGGCCCAGAAGTAGTTAGGGTTGGAACAAGCATCAGTAACGTGGTTAACTCGGGGAATGCGGGTGAAGCCTCCAACTACTACAGGCCCAACCGCAGAGGGTCACCAAGGCCGACCATGCACGATCATTTTGACATCAACGAGCACCTGCCCTGGATGATAGTTCTGTTGCTCCTGCTGGTGCTGGTCGTGATCGTGGTGTGCAGCGTCAAGAGGAGCTCTCGGGTGCTGAAGAAGGGCCCCATGCAGGACCCAAGCAGCATCATGGAGAAGGCAATTCACAAGAAGACATCTGGGACTCCAACACAGGTCAGAGAGAAGTGGATCTACTACTACTCCAATGGCCAAGGTAAGCTTGTGACTTCTTCTTTGAGTTTTAGCATTTAGCCTACTGCTTTAACTCTGATGGGTTACTTTTTAGCCATGTATAAATATCTATGTATATGTGTGCCAAACACGGAACAGGTACAAGTAGTTCCCTTTCACATAGTTGGTGCTGATGATGGATAGGAACATGTCTAACAAGTATCAACCACTCCATAGTTGGGACGTTCTCGGAATCTCACCAGTGATGCCTTAATCTGCTTCACAGTTTTAGCTTTCATGAATAAATATTGAATTCTTGCGGCACACTCGCGGTTCCACTCAAGGGTCACGACATGCATCTGCTGATGTGGAACCATCTGTTGATGTGTTTGAACTGCTGTTAGCTTCTAATCCAATCAATTGTACCCCTGAGCACATGTTGTGCAGGGCGGTGGTTACACAAATGAGGACATGACCCTGTTGTACCACCCTTCTGTTGCTGTCCTCTCTCAATGTCTACACGCAGGTTCACTTCCAGATCTCAGTTCTCAAATTTCACCTTAGCATGAACTTTCTTTTCTGCTTCCGTCACCTTCATATCGGTCCTCTTACTCTTTTCTTTTATAAAGAGGTGACCCAAAACTAAGGGACACCTCTCGGTTAATACACTCAGGTTTCCCCTTTGAAAGTTAGTGTGTATGGATGTGTGCGTGTGTGTGTAAGTGTTTGTTGTAGAGATGAAGCTGAGCCACCCGCCTCTCTCACATTGTGCTCCCTCAGTGACAGCCCACAGAGAACTGGAATAATCTGGTTTCAGCTGAACCAGGGTAGTTGTTTGGTTGGCAAGGCACATTATTGGGTCGATCGGGTCTCTTACGGGACAACAAAGAGATATATGGAGAGAAAGCAATGAGGAGAGTACACCAAACAGTACGGTGGCGTGTGTCAGTGTGAGTGTTATTGATGTATGTCAATGAAATTATGTTTCCTTGCTGTAGTTTTGCTTTGCAAGAAGATGTATAAAATTTGAAAAAAAAAAAAAAGACCCAACCAAACACAGTGATAAGAGGACTTCGGTTCCGGTCTTGTGTCTGCTGTGCTGATTGTGTTCAATGGTTTAGAGTTGCTTCTATAGTGCACTGTCAAAATATATGCACAAACCACAAATTTTACCGTCTTCACATTTTATGTGATGGACAAAGTAAAGCATATGTTCGCAGCAGTAGGAAAGTCACATACTCTTGAAAATTTGTTCAAATTAATTCACTTAGCCAGGTCTTTATAAAAACGAATATCTCTGTGACATTGTTTACAATATTATTATTGTTTGAAATAACATCATACACATGGGACCGGCTTCAGAAAAGTTTTCAGTTGCACAAATCCGCCCTTGAACATTGTTTTAAACATGCCAAACCCATAGGGGGCAGCGTAGCACAAAGCTAAAACCTACACCAGCCAATCAGAGTGCTTCAAAACAACAACAACTTCCTGTCAGGAATTAAACATGGTGCCAGGAGGCTCATTTGCGTCGACAGATATGTAGGTTTAACTACTTTTAAATAGCATTTTAGACAATATAGTTATTAAAACACGTGAACTGGGAATCATGCCAAAGCAATAAAGTGAATAAATACAGATTTTTCTCAAATGTAGATGTGGCTGGGTGTGGACATGGCAATATAATAAAAGGAAGTTGACTAATGTCTGAAACACTTTTGAGATTTTTATTTTAAAAATCTATTTAATACACGTTTTCCATTTCACTTCTCAATCAAGCAACAATCTATGTTAGTCTACCTTTTCCAATAGCGATAAAATATGTTGTGTAAAATAGGAAAAAAAATCTGTAAAAATATCAAAAGTACCAAAACCCTTGCAAAGTATCGATCAGTAATATTGAAAGTGTGACCTGATGAAATGTGTTTGTGTCACAATGAAAACTGAGTATTAGCAAAGGAAAAGCTTTGGAGGAATTGTTTTCCACCTCAACCTTTCTCTTTATTGCACTCGTGTGTTTTCCCGATGTGTGTTCTCTCCTGATGAGTAATGCCGTGCCCATATGCATGCACTTATGTGGAGCTATATGTATGCACATGCAACTCAAACAGCTAGTTTACGCTGCTATTTACTCTCTGGAACATAAAACGAAACTGCTTCTTAATCCTTCCAAGGTGCGTGGCTGGCTCCCCTTGAAGGTTGTAATCCACCTTTACTAGAGCAGTTAAAGCAGTCGGGCAATAAAGGCGAAAAGAAGGGGAAATGTTCAAGCATGGATCACACACATGCACCGCTTGGCATTCGCTCAGAGCCGGCCAGGAAATGGTGAAAAATGCTACTTCTCCACAGTAAGGCCAGGCAGGGCTTTCCGGGGCCCCGGGCCAGGTTTGTGTTGCTCTGGTGAGGGTGGAGCCGTCACACAAAAGGAATCACAAAAATGTCTCATAAAGGTTACATTCAAGACGTTTACAAGCCCTGAAACTTTTGAACATTTTCCCTCAACTAAACTCTACGATATGTTAATTTCCTCTGTGTACCTTCCTTATTGTAGCTATATAGTAATAAAAAAGAACATTAATGTTGTCATTTGATTCTCCTCGGGTGTATCTTGAGGCTCCATAGCAACTGGACGAGTGTAGCCATCTAATGCAGAATCTGTTTGGTTGATGATTGATTAAAAGGTAGTCGCATGAAGTTAGATTTTCAAATTATATTCAAAATCACTTTTGTAAACGTTTTTGCTCAATTAACTCGTTATGTGCTTTACTGAAGGGATAGTACTTACGGGTTTTTGATTTGAACAAAAATGAAATTTTGCAACAAATTGATTATATTTGACACTTTATTTTGACCCCAAATCACAACTATCCTTGATTTCCAAACTTTTTTAGACATTGTGATAAACACTGAACAAATTATCTTCGGCAAATTTGATAACCTACTGAACTTGTAACAGCCCTGGCTATCTTGCTAACATGAATGAAAAAAAAGTGATAAAAATAATAATTTGAGTGTGTTTATGGTTGAGTGAAAATTCTGAAAATTCAAAGCCAAATAAAGGCTGGTTTAAGTGGCCAATGGCAATTGCAGTGTAACTACAGATACTGATGGTCATTTAATACGTGGTGTTGTTAATCCAAAGTGCATTGACGTTTGTGTCGCTCTATGTTGTCACGGGAACCATGTAGTTTTCTAGCAACCACTATGTCTGCATATCATTCAGGTGTAGTACAACAGCCTCACCTGAGTGTTTTTCTTGAAAGTAGGATGTGTTCAAACACCAGATGGGAAACTGCTCTGTGCTGGTATAGCATTTTATCAAGTCCATAGGACTCCAAAGCTCATTGACCCATTCATACACATTCACACACCTATGGTGGTAAGCTACTGTTTAGCCACAGCTGCTCTTAGACAGTCTGACAGAAGGGAGGCTCCCGTACAATCAGCATCACCGGATCCTCTAATCACCACCAGCAGGCAAGGCGGGTGAAGTGTCTTTCACCTGTTATTCCTTCTGATGCCCATTATAGTTTCGCCAGAACCCTGGGTGTGTAAACATTGGTCCTGAATGAACTATTCCTTCTGGGTCTTTGCTAGAGAACGCATTTCACATCTTACTTTATGAAAAACACCAGCGGTGTTCGAGGTAGCAGATTAATCCTGGAAGTAAAACTCAGCACAGAGGCACCGTCATACCCTTAGGAGAAGATCAGGTGGGTGTGGTCTTGAGCTGTGTTATTTAAGGCATACAGTTCCAAAGAAAGATATGGAGGGAAACGTGAAGAAAAACAACATTGTACCTGCCCACCATCCTTCCTTGTTAAACATCCACACCTTTAATAATGCCAAGTTCCACATCCAAAGCCAGCGGGGAGCCATGTGTTTGACTACGCGGCTGTGTGCAGTAGCAGGGTGGGCTGGGGTAGCCTGGGACTGATTGCGAAGAGCAGAATTTGAGGGGGTTGTTGCCTGGTTGGAGTTTCGCAGCGCCTGCTGTGCTACCACACAGCTGCACACACATTTCATCAATTTAGTTTTGTGTGTTCCTGAATTAACGGGAGAGGACTATGTCGTGAATAATTCAACTGAATGGTATTTGTTAAGATGCTGACGCCCTGCTTCAAGTCCTGCTACAGACTAGTATGGGGTACGGAGCTGAGGCATCGTTTTGGGTCTGTTTATGTCAGTGTGGGGTTTGAAAAGTTAAAATGTGCTTAAAAAACACTATTTCTGGATAAAAGTCTGTTAATTTGTTTAAAAAGTAGTAGTAACTATACAAAAATGGTGATATAAGTAATTATTAAATACATAGATTGGTACATTAGCAATTTAGCTTGGCATGGTTAGCATGAAGTAGAGACTTTGATTGGGCATGCAAATTTTAGCATGCCCAATCAAAGTCTCTACCTCATGCTAAATTGCTAATGTTGTTAAAATTTTGCAAAACAAAACAAACTTGGCGTGGTTCCACCTACTGGTTTAGACCAAATGCTATGCTACGCAAAGATCTAAACATCTGACATCTAAACATGTCAGATGTTTAGATTATGCGTGGCTGTAATAAACAGGAAGTAGGTTAGCATGGACTTAGCCTGGTCATCGCCTTCTGTACGCAAGTCTGCTCAATTTTAATCTCACTTCCCATCTGGTAGAATTCCAACCGGAAAAGTTGAAGAACAGAAGGAGTTGTGAACGGTGACGTTGATTTTCATTCCTGTTATAGAATTTTATTCTACCTCTAGTTTAAGCAATGACAGTGCAGGAAGTGGATGGCCATGATTCCTAATATAAAATGAATTTGTTCAGGTTGACTCTTCTCTCCTTGTGGTGGAGGACAGTTGTTTGCAGCTTAGATGATTTCCTGAAAGCTTCTTGTTGTCAAACTGATGCAAACTGATGCATTACGTACACCACGGGCAAACGTTAGTGAGTGGCTAAAATAAAACCAGGCTAGCATGGAATGTGTTGCTATCGGGAAAGTTGTAACTGTTATGTCACGTCAACTAATATCGGTGTGGTTACTTGCTGTTCGCAGATGTAGAA